CACCCGCTCGCAGCACCTCGGGTCTGGCGCTGGACAAGCCGGAGCGGCCCCGTTGCTGCTTCGCTTGGGGCCACAGGAGTAAGAGCTGGAACTGCCCCCGCGCTGGGCTCCTCCCGAGCTCTGGGGTCGCTCTGAAAGGAGGAATTGCCGCGCACCAGCCTCCTCCAGGCCTGCCAGACCAGGCTTTCGGCTGCGTGTACAGGTCGCAGGGATTTCCAAAGCCCCATCCACCCCCCGATGTACCCGTGCACCGTCGGAGCTTCCCTGCAGAGGCCACTCCGTCCATCTCGCCAAGTTGACTCGCTTGGCTGATGGGGCCGGGTTTAAGCGCTGAGCTTCGCTAAGCCGACGTCCGCAGCACCCACGCGCGGCCAAGGCTCGTCCTGGTGAGCAAGAGCCGCGCAAGAGCCAAGTGCCGATAACCTCGTGCTATTTATACTGCAGCAGAGAGATCGAAAATCGGATTTAGGGGCACTAAACCCTCCATCCGCTTTGGGCAGAAAGGCTTATCCTCTCCCCGCCCTCCGCTTTGGGCAGACAGGGTTCTCCTTTCCCCCAGCCCCTGCCAACCCATTCCTAAACAACGGAGCAATTAAATAAGTCACAGCCATTAAGGACTGTCCTCCTCTACAAACCCCAGGCAATTCCCAGAGGAGCAGCAATTCCTGGATAAAAATAAGAGACTGCCCGGCTGGGGCTCGTGGCCTCACGTCCCCCGTCGCCGCCTCGCGAGCTTCCCTGGGGTGGGACCGGGTTTCAATTCGTGGCCAATTTGGTGCTTCAAGTTTGTAAAATAAACATGTATTTAAAAGCTAAATCTGCATAAATTTGTCTGTACATCTTGATATATGGTTGTTTTTTAAAGCTAATAAATTAATTAAATTAATAAATTGCATTTTGGGGGGGAATAAGAAGAGGCACTGAACAGCCCAGGGAATGTAGCCTTTAAGACAATTACATTAATACCAGGAGAGAAAAATATCCTCTTGTATAAAAGGAGTTAATAATTATATATAAAGCCAACAAGATCCACAGTTTATCTGTCTCGTTAACTCTTAGATGCCAGTGGAACGAGCTCACCCTCCCAGCAGATGCCTGTCGAGATGTTAAAGGCGCATGAAAACTAGTCTATAAATCAGCTGGTTATCATCTGTACTCACGGGGCTAAAATGCTTGAAAACATAAGAAATTTGGCAAAAATACCCCAAGAACTCTTTAGCTTAATTCTGATCAGCATTTTGGTAACGTGACAGCAATAACCTTGATATAGTAAATTATAAGCTGATCAAGATAAATAAAATTATAACATAACGCTGCCAAGGATCGGCTCTAAAATGTAGATGCAGTTTAAAACATTAACTACAGAACAGGCTCCTTTCCATTTTAATGGATGCTTTACAGAAACAGCAAACGCGACTTTGACCTGCGCAAGCGCTTCTTCTCCAACACTGGACTTTATTGGTACGTGTAAAACACACTGAAATTCATAAAATTTAAATTAGACAGCGAAATTATACCTTGTAGCTATAGTTATCGCAAATAATGTATAGTCTAAATTGCAGCCTGAGCAAACAGTATTTGCTGGGTGCCTTTGGAAGCCCGAGGCGGGATGCAGAGCAATTATGAGAAATGAGTACAAAGCCGATTTGCATCTGAATGCTGGGGAGGGGGAGCAGGGGCGGGCTGGGCGCCCGCTCCATTCACAGCACCACAATACGCCGGCTGGTAAAAGCAACTTTATTAGTGTCCCGCAGCAAAATACATTAGTAATTTGTAACCAGGCACTGAAATTCCCGTCCGGTGTCGTACAGAAGTAATCAGCCGCCTCCGTGCTTGTATGTGTTACGGGATTTGCTCGGGGTGCTCCCCCAGCAGAGACGCGTGTGAGAACCCCTCCGGAAGGCCGTCGCAGCGGAACCCCGGGGTGCCCCGTTCGCCGGGAACCCCTGGAAACGGGCAAGCGGCTCTACGGCAGGCCCGGAAAAACCACACACAACCGGGCACCACCGAGCCGCCGCGACCCCCCAGCAAAGCCCGGCCCAGGGTCTATACATTGTCCAGATGTTTTCCAGTTGTGGTCCCACTCTTGCAGCAGCGCAGGTAGCGCTTGCTGTATTTCCGTACTCCTTGGAGCGTACAAAGCTTGTTCCCTCTCCACCCCAACAGCAGG